GCTCTACTTTGGTTGACCTCTCATTGGGTGGAACTTGTCACTAGGTCCCACCTAGCAAGCCAAGTGAGGAAATGCAGTCTTTTTTTTTTTTTAAAGATTTTATTTATTTATTTGACAGACAGAGATCACAAGTAGACAGAGAGGCAGGCAGAGAGAGAGAGGGAAGCAGGCTCCCTGCTGAGCAGAGAGCCCGATGCGGGACTCGATCCCAGGACCCTGAGATCATGACCTGAGCCGAAGGCAGCGGCTTAACCCACTGAGCCACCCAGGCGCCCGGAAATGCAGTCTTTTATTTGGATGTCCGTGCGCTCAGTTCTTTTTCTAAGGAGAATTGATGTCACACTAACAGTCTCCTGCTGGCTGTCGTGCGAGGAACAGACGAGAGAGAAGCAAGGGAGGGAGGGAACCCTTGGGAGAGGGACTGAGGGCAGTCAGGAGAAAGATGGTGCTGGCTTGGCCCCAGGGACATGTGTGAGAAGATGGGGAGAAGTGGTGTGACTGAACACAGCTTTGATGGAAAAACCAGCAGGACACCGGACCTGGAAGGGAAGCAGCAGAACCAAGGGCGATGCCTAGTCTGTGTCTGGGCAGCTGAGCTGGTGGTGGTGCTGGATGCTGAGCTGGGGGGAGACTGGGCAGAGACAGCAAGGGCAGCTGGGGGAGGGAGGGGGGCGCCACCAGCACAGGATCCCCGTCCCCACTGCCACACTTCTGGGATGAGAGGAAGCCAGGAGGACAGCTGCAGCCCCTGGGCTGTCCCCTGGAGAATGCCCAGCAAGCCAGCTGTCCCAGCCTTCCCCACACTGTACTGTCATCCTGCTGGAATCCTGGGACACGGCGGGGGGAGGGGGCGGACAAAAAAGGGGGTCAAGAGCAGCCGTGGTTTATAAACCCAGGTCCGAGGGTGTCTTCCGCCCTCATGCACATCCTGACTCCCTTCTCACAGACCCGGCGGAAACCAGAAAGCTGGGGCCCAAAGGAGGAAGTTGGGAAAGCTCTGGCCAAGTTCACCACCGCACCGCAGGCCACACACAGGACAGGCAGCGGGCACGTGGAGAGCTGAGGAAGACCGAGGTTTCCCAAGGTCACCCAGGCACTTGAGAGCAGAGTCAGCATGTAGGCCCCTGATTCATAGGCCTGTTTTTAGCCCCAGGTGGAGGCAGCACCCCAGCTCACCCACCCCGCCTGAGTCACTGCCTGCCGAGGGCAGCCATCACCCAGGCCCCAGGGCCAGCTTTCCAGGTCCGTGCCCCAGGGGAGGCTCAGAGGCTGCAGAAACTCCTCTCCAGCATGGTTCAGAACCTGGGGGGCCAGCCTGTCTTGGGGGCAGCCCTCCGTGTCAGCTGTGGGCGGAAGGCTGGGATCTCTGGGATGGGACCCCGAGGAAGCTGGATCGGGGCTGGCATTGTGGGCTTGGCCAGCTAGCCTCCAGGCCAGGTGTAGCTTCCTTCCCGGGGTAGACGGCCGCCAGAGCTTGCCCCTCTGCCTTCCGCAGTAGACAGGCCTCTGATGCGTACATAGCTACCTAGCTGCTCAGCTCAGTTCTGGAAAGTCTCCACAGAAGGCTTTGGCCCCACTTACCTTGTGTATAGAATCTGTTGTCAAACACGGAGTGCCCAGATGCTAAACCTCATCTCCTTTGTGTCTCTCCCACCCAAGGAACACCTGCAGATTTCTAGCAATTTCCCTCACTTCTTGAACCGCCTGCCAGGGGTGAAGTCGTCTGTGTTTCCTCTAGCTCAGAGGACTGGGGGCTGGAAGGGCTTGAGGGTAGAGGGATCAGCTAGTGATGAAGACCCAAGGCCAGAGGACCCCTGAGGTCAGGGATATGGCAGGCCTGGGGCATCCCACTCCCAAACCCCAGCCAGGGCTCAGCCCCACCCACCACAGGCTCCAGCCCGTGCATGCTGAACCGGGGGGAAAGGCAGCCAGAGGAGGGGACCCTGGAATGCCAACACCGACTGCCCAGCCAGGGTAGATGCCGCAAGCCCCACTCTGCCCTGCACCCACTCAGCTCCCTGGACCTGTCTTGTCTGGGGCCGTGCCGCAGAGAGGATGAGGGGCCCGAACCCCAGGACACTGGCCTGCTTCCTTCTGCTAGCTTCGTTCTTGGGGGCTTCCTCAGGAGCAAGACACAGGTCTTGGTGATACCGCGGACTCTAGAGGCGCATCCTCTCAGGCTGGCCCTACTGAAAAATCCCATAGCTGGCCCAGAGTAGGGCATGTACCCGCCAGCCCCTTCGTGGCTTCCTTGCCTCAGCTTCCCACACCTGCCACCCTAGGCCCCTGACCTGCACTGGGAGCTGGCCTGGGCCCCGTGGGTCTGTGCACATGTGAGCACGAAGGAGCCAGTGGGGAGCCACCCCCGCTCCTTGCCCTGCACTCCCAGCCTCTCCTCTTCCCCGGCCACTAGGATATCCCCCGGGTGGGGGGGGCAGGCAAGCGGCCACGAGGCAGACGTGTTCTTCTGAACCCTTGGGGGGCTTGTGCTGAGGGGCCGCATGGTGGGGTCAGGAGAGTGACCTGGGGCAGGCCCTGTCACGGCAGAAACATGGGAACACTCCATAGGTAAGGTCTGCCCGGGGCTTGGGCTCCGATGGGCACCGTCTTGTCCTGGTTTGGGTTCCTCGAAAAGTTGACCTTAAGACAAGAAATTTATTGGGGAGGTCATTTCAGGAAGCACCAAGGGACAGGGTAGGTGACCCAGGAAAGGGAAGGGAAATGAAGGGAGCGCGGATGTTCATGCAGGTCAGGGGGCAGGCATTGGGGCTTGGGGCAGCCACGGTCCTCTAAAAGCCTGGCAGACGCATCTCAGAGTTACCTCTCTAGGAGGGCAAGGAAGCCCGGCTGTGTGCGCACCCACTCCTGCCCATCCCGAACACTAAGTCCCAAACCGTGCAGCCTGCCACATGGCGGGAGCAGAGGGCCGGTGAGGCCGGGCCAGGAAGCTGGCCCTCTGCAGGGACCCTGTGAGGCAAGTGGGGCAAGTGCCCAGGTATGAGTGAGGTGCACCAGCTCCCACTCCCATCTCGACGTTAAAAGCAACAGTTCTCTCCAATGGAGCGCAGAGCCTATGGTTCACGCCTGTTGCCCTTGGTATGGACCCTGCGTGAGGCACCATTTGCCCTCACAGGGACTGCTGGGCAGCTGCTCTCAGAACTTGTGGGTCTGATCCAGAGGCTGGCCTTGGGGTCAGAGCCTCCTGATGCTGACTCCCAGCTCTGGCACTCCCCACCCGCGAGCATAGGTGAGTGCCTGCCTCTCTCTGGCGCTCGGTTTCCCGACCTGTAAAATGGGGACAGTAACACAGAGACTACTGTACTAGTTAGTGATGGCCACAACAGTACAAAGAAACCTTCCCGAACTCGGTCACTTGCAGTAAAAATTATTTCTTTCCACGGGGCAAGAGTTCAGCCTGGGATCAGAGACCCAGGGTGCCTCTGCTGGGCTCCGTGTGTCCCCCATCCTCTTGCTGGGATGAACGGGGGAGCCCGGGCGTGTTCATGACGATGGCGGAGGCCCCACAGGACAAGCGGGGTCATGCAAGGCCTCAGAAGGGCAGGCTGGGGAACTTCCACATCCTTATATGGGCTGGAGTGTGGCCCCCAGCCGCTCACAGTCAAGGACAGAGGAACTGTGTCCTGCGTTCAGGGGACAGAAATTGCAAAGACAGGAAGCGAAGGGTGTATGGACCCAGATGGGCAGAGAGCCAGGCCCATTACTGCAGCCTCCCCCAACCCCTCCAGGAGGCACTGTGTGTGTGTGTGTGTGTGTGTGTGCGCCCAGGCGCGTGCTTTGTAGGCTGTGAAGTGCTCTGTGTGTGTGCAAGGTGCTGGGCCTGGGGAGGTCCTGTGACTGCTCCAGGAGCCCCTGCGTCTCCAGAGACCACTGCCTTCCCTGTCTGGGGTTACACGTCCGTGATCCATCATCTCTGAAGATGGGGACCCTCTGTGGTATCCCAGAGAAGGGGAAGGGGGAAGACGCCTGCTCGTTATGCCATGATGTCCATGCAAGGGCAGCAGAGTGTCGGGCTCCCGGGGCACCCTGGGGTACCCGCGACCGAGGAGGAGGGGGAGAGAGGCAGAGAGAGGTGAACTCCCTAACTCTCTATTCACCCTCTGCCCTTCCCTTGTTTAACTAGGACTGGGCCTCTCCGGCCCCCAGGGAGAGGTAGGCCACAGGTCAACAGCAAATAAGTAACTAAAAATTAATAAAATTAAGTTTTGGGGGCTCCTAAGTGGCTCAGTCGGTTAAGCGACCGACTCGATTTTGGCTCAGATCACAGTCTCAGGGTCATGAGATCAAGCCCTGCGTCAGGCTCCTTACTCAGTGCAGAGTCTGCTTGAGTTACTCTCTCTTTCCCTCTGCCTCCCTGCTGCAAATAAATAAATAAAATCTTTAAAAAATTTTTTAAGTTTCAGCTTTAGGCCAGCCAGGGGCCTAAGCTCTTGACATTGAATATTGACGTAATTGGAGAACCGGCCTCTTCATGCTCCGTCCCCCAAGGCACAGGTTCCCTGGGGCCCAGGCCCTCAGCTACCTGGAATTCTCAAGTAACCAAAACGTCCCTCTTCCTGATTTGCCCAATTCCAGGGACTTTGCTCCACCTGGGTAAGAAGTAGAGAAAATTATAATAGTCAAAAACATTGATTTTTTTTTTCCCCAAAAAAATACTCTGCAAAACCGTTTTCAAAGGAAATGAAAGTGGGGCTGCCTTGGTTGAGCTGGCGGGTGGAGGACTGAGCCCTATCCGCTCCCCTCCTGCCCACAGGAGACAATCAGGCTGCATGGGGCACGGTTGAAACTGCCACACTTAAAGTCGCCGTGCCAGACAGAAGGCTCCAATGGCTCTCATCCCCAGACTGTGTCCACACTGTATCTAGTGGCCCGCTTTTCCTGAGCAGGCCAAGGGCTGAGCCGCAGTCCCAGTACCCTAGCCTGTGCCCAGCCAGGGCTGTGACCCCACCAAAGCCTCAAAGACCACCCCTGTCTCCTCACAGGCTGACGCCAAGATGGTGTGTGACGTCGTAAGTCGGATGGAAGACACCGAGCCCTTCTCTGCAGAACTGCTTTCCGCCATGATGCGGCTCTGGGGCGACTCAGGAATCCAGGAATGCTTCAACAGGTCTCGGGAGTATCAGCTCAACGATTCTGCCAAATAGTGAGTGTCTTGGGGCTGGGGTGGCCGCCGGCAGGCACAGAGACCAGTATGGAGGCGGAGGTGGGCGCACAGGGAGGGGGCCTCGGCTGAGGTCAGAACTGCCATGACGTGTTCTGCCACTGGTGTCAGGAAAGGTGTCTGGAAGGAGAGGGAAATGGCCTCTCCTCGCACCCCCAGGGTAAGAGGCCGGGGAGGCCGAACACACAAGAGACAGCGAACAGTAGGGCTCCCAGAGGGCGGGATCCGTCACCACCTTGCCCTAAACAGGGCCTGGCACTTCAGAAGGAAAGTCTATAGTCTAACAGCTTTTTCCCTCCAGAGAAGCCCTGACCCCGTAAGTACAAACCAAGAGTCATATGGGCAGAAAGTAATTGACATGATGCCATTTCTGTTTCATTTTAGAGGAAATAAACGTTCCATTCCTCTATCTTTAAAATGAATATTTTAAATAAGACTAAGGAAATAATCAAACATATCCTTTGATAGTGCGTTATAACCAAATATGGGGAAGGAAAGGAGAAGAGAGAAGGGGGAGTGAAGGCAAGGGAAGAGGTCAGTGAAAACCGGAGAGGCTGAAAGGGGGACAAACAAAGGGGGGGTAGAGAAAGTGGTCTATGGGAGCTCTTCCGTGACAGCAGCTCTGTCACTTCAAGTGTCCCTAAGGTTACATGCCCTTGTTCCTCAGAGCAGGGACTCCACGCCCCAGGGAATGGCCTGCCCGGGCTGCGAACAGGTCTTCTGTCCTGGAGACTTTGGGACCACACCCCACTTTTGCAGTCTTGTGCCCAAGTTGTCAGTGGGAGCCTCTGGGTTTGAAGCCACCGTCTTAGGACGTGTATGCTCCACCACCGGTCTCATTCAGCCGTCCTCACCCCTGCTGCTCCACCACTCTGCCCCCAGGGGACATTTGGCAATGTCTGGAGACATTCCGGATTGTCCCGACTCAGGTGGTGGTGCTGGCATCTAGTGGACAGAGGCCAGGGATGCGGCCGAGCGACCTACAGTGATCAGACGGCCCTCCTTAGCAAGAATCATCTGGACCAAAATGTCCGTAGTGCTGAGCCTGAGAAATCCCGGCCTACCCCCTGGTGGTGTCGCAGAGGCAAGGGCCCAGAAAACGGCACTTGCTCACAGATGTTGGGCCATTTCCGTTGGCCACGATGACAGCTACTAAACTAGAGACTTGAGCAAGGCCAGAGTTCCCCCCAATTCTGCACACCTAGACTGTCTACTGGGTGAACGCTAGGTTCTGGGAGTCCCAGGTGGTAGTGAGCTGGGCCCTGGGGCCCTGATGAGCCCCCCAGGGATACCTCGGTGGACAGGGGTGTGAGTGTGGGGATTTGTGCCCACAGCTGCCGGTGCACGCTCAAGTCACTCCTCCAGTGGCCCCAGGTTGTCTCCCAGAGCCATTTGGGGGTTGGGGGGACGGCTTCCCCAGCCCTGCTGGGCCCCAGTCCAGGGCCTTCCCATCCCCCCCACTCCCCTCGGGCCATCAAATAGTGGTCTCCACTTAAATTGTTGTCCATTTAATTATAATCTAAATACACTGGAAAAAAAATTTAACACTACAGAGAGGTGTAAAATTAATAGTAAACTCCTTCTTCCAGGTCTGTCCCCTTCCAACTTGTAATTATTTCATCTCTCTGTCCAGTGTCGTCCAGGAAAACCTGACCCTCCAAGCGGTCATAGTATTTAGTGGCCTCCGGGATGGGATCGGAGTTCAGCTCACCTGCCCGCCTCCCATGTCTCTGCCCCACTTCCATGACCAGCGTCTTGCTAGTTCAGGGATTACCTGTGGTTCTTCTGGTGGTTGCCTTTATAACGTTAAGTAAGAAGCTTGAGTCAGTATTTGTCAACTGCCCACCAAGTCAGCTGAGGAAACCTGGCTCCTTCTCTCCATGTGTCTGTCTCTGGGACAGGGTCCCAGGATAGGCCAGGGCGGGAACCCACAGCAGTCAGGTAAGGAAGGGCCTTAAACCTTGCCTGGTCCGGGGTGGCTCTGCGACCCTGGTCTTAGCAGCCAGATCCCCTTTTCTGACAGAATCCTGGGTGCAATATACAAAACAGTTAACAGCGGATTTGTTGTGACAGAGAGAGAGAGAGAGCCCCATAGGGCTGACTCAGGGCCCAATTCCAAGGGGTGGTGTGAGTGACTCCCCATGTCCCCCAGCCCAATCCCCTCACTTAACAGGTGAGGACACCAGGCCCCTGAGGGGACAGGGAGGCGGCCGGTGCTGCCAGGCTCCCTCCACCCGGGCCTCTGTGGATAGGGCTGGCTCTCCCTTTGACCCTCCGGATGGTGCTGAGACAAGTCCCGGGAGCCCAGGAGTCTGAGCACGTCCCCGCAAGGGCTGTACAAGCTAGTTCCATGGGCTGGTTGGGCCTGTTTCTTCTCCTGCCCGCTCTCCGGAGCCCATGCCTCGGGCTTTGCTCCTGCGCCCCGCTGAGATGGCTCAGGCTCTCGACCCCCTCCTCGCAGCACCCCCATGCGTGCTCCCTCCCCACTTCTGCCTGTGCCCTCTCTGGAACCCTTGAACCTCTTCCAGTCCATGCTCAGGGCCTGGGTGAGCTTCTCCAGCCCCGTCCGCCTCCATTCCTCACACGCACCGACAAATCTCCCTCGTGTGGGGCCAGCCCAGCCCTCCCTCCTGCCTCCTCCCTGCCCATTTGGACATCTCAGCACTTCCCAAATTAGTATGTGCCACCTGACTCCCAGCTCCTCCCTCCCCCAAACCTGCTCTGCCCCACTCTTCTTCCCACTAAGAGCAGCTTCGTTATACCACAAGGAGGTGGCTTTAATGGGCTCTGCCTCCCACTCCCACCTCCACCAGGCCCCAGCCTAGCGGCCTCTCACCTGCAGGGCTGCAGCAACCTCCCAACAGGTGTCCTTTCTCCTCCCTCCTGATCTGCTCTCCGTACAGCAGCAGACTCTTCATCAGAACCTTCCAGAAGCTTCCCATCTCCCTCAGCGTGAAAGCCCAAGTGCCTACAAGCTGCGCCCCACCCTTGCCTCCCTCACCCCACTCCAGTCCCACAGCTCCCTCCTCCCACCACACCACCCCTGCCCAGGGCCTGCGTCCCAGGCCCCTCCGCCACCATAGGGTGTCCTCTGTACCTGCAAGGGGAGAGGCTCACCCCTGCTCCCCTCAGCCTCCACTCCAATGTCATCCTGCCTTCCCCAGCCCCCCTCTGCCCAATAGCAATGCTCCTCAGGCCTCCTCCTTACCAACTGCCTCCGTCTTTCCTTCTTACTTAACTGTGAATTATCTCACACGTACATGTGCACACAAACACATGTAGGCTCTGGGGAGGTGGGGACGGTACTGGTCGTATTCACTGTCTCATCCCAGCAGCCAGGGCGATGGTGGGTTGGGGAACAAGTAGGTGCCTCTCCCACTTGCTCACCCACCCATCCCTTGGCCACGTCCATGTGTGAGGCTCAGCAGCACAGAGAGACGGAGGGCCAGGTTTTCTGTCTAAAAGAGGTTTCCCCGGCTGGGACTGTGGGCTGGGGGCGGCAAGGGGGCCAAGACCAGAGACTCCCCCGTCCTGGTGTCCAGCTGGAGACAACAGAACGAGGGTCATTTCAAAACCAGCAGAGCTCCTAAGCAGAGGCAGTGGGAGTAGGGCAGGGAGTGAGGGGGGTGTGAGGGGCCGTGCCCAGAGAGGTTAGGAGGATTGGGACAGGCCGGGAGGGGCTCCTCCAGGCTGAGCCCAGAGTCCAGACACTCCCAGGGGCCTGGTCGGGAGATGCTGAGGCAGCCAGAGCTCCCAGGTCCAGGCCCGAAGAGCATGGGATCTGGAGTCAGACACATCCAGGCTCAAATCCTAGCAGGGTCCCTTTTCTAACTATGTGACTTCAAGCTTATGCCTCCTATCCCTGGGACTCCCTCATTCAGTTTTATTGCTTCAAGGAAAATCCTCACAAGGATTTGAGGGGGGCCTGGATTATTGGTTTACCAGTGGAAACCCTCATTGCTGAAGGCATTTCCCCCTCCAGCCCCATGAGCATCCTCAGGCTGAGAAACTGACCCTCACAGGTACCAGGGCTAGTGCCAATGAAGGGTAGCCCCTCCTCACGCAACCTGGGACCCCACATTGTCCTGGGGCTTGGACCCTCGGGACTCCTCCCCTGTGGGCTGTGTGTGGTTCTCCCCCAGCACAAGGGGTAGGTGGCCCAGCCAGCCCTGTGCATCACTGAATCCTCCCTCAGGCCTGGCCCACCTCCCTGCTTCCTGGTTTTCCAGATCCCACCCCTGCTTTGGGTTCAAACCTAACCCCGAAGCCCTTCCGGCTGGATGGGTAAAGTGCAAAGACATGGTCTGTCTCCAGAGCCAGTGGTGACATGAAAAGAGAGCCCTGATGCCAAAGACATGGGTCCCATCCCCATGTCACCTCTGAGCTGTGTCACCTCTGAGCCTCTCTTCCAAGGACCAGTGCTCCGGTAGACTAAGCAAGTCTGGAAGCACCGGCGGATGCCGAGAGGCCTCTGGGCAGCACTCGGGAGTACTGTTAGGGGGTGGACCAGATGTCTGGGTTGGAGCCCCGGCTCCCAGCTGGGCGAGGTCCTTACTAATTTCTAATCTCTAAAACGGTTCATATAATTCAGGGCAACTAAGGGTGCAACATGATCACCCATGCCAAGAGTCAAAGGTAACTGTTGGCCACTATGTAAGAGTTTGACCTCTAAATGCACCACCCCTGGCCCTGTGCAAGCAGCCCTTGGTCTGAGCTAGAGGCTCTTTGAGGAGGTGAGGGTAGAACATAAGCTCCTCCCACTCTCTGCCCCCAGCCCCAGGGCAGTGGATGGTGGGGGGTGGGGGCGCCGTTGCTTCCACGGTCGGCCCCCAGGGGGCGCTGCCCGGGACTGGGCCGGCTTGTTCCAGGGCCCCGTGTGTTGCCCTCCCCAGCTACCTGGACAGCCTGGATCGGATCGGGGCCGCCGACTACCAGCCCACCGAGCAGGATATTCTCCGAACCAGGGTCAAAACCACTGGCATCGTAGAAACCCACTTCACATTCAAGAACCTCCACTTCAGGTGAGGCCCAGGGAGTTTCCCGAACCCTGGCGAGGGCACTGGGACAGATGGGAAACACCGGCCTCTCGGCCCTGTCTCATCTGCCTTGGGGAGCTTTCCAGTTGGGACAGGCAGTTAGATACAAGAAGGGACCTGCCTGTGTGTGTTTTCCACCGAGTTCAGGGGCCAGGACGACCAGGGAGGCTTCCTGGAAAAGGCATTCTGGAGTGGGTCTCCAAGGAACAGAGAGGATTGGAGTGGACAGAGGAGCAGAGTCCTGTCCCTAGATGACTTCTGAGGAGGAGGAAGGCAAATCCCCCAGGTGGCCCCTTGAAGTCCTCCTTGTGGGAGGGGGAGGGAAGGAGGATGGATAGGCCGAAACAGTATCTGTGAGATGCCAAGAACCTGGATAATCTCAGAGCTGGAGGGATCTTAGAGATCAGCTGACCCACCATCTCCAGGTACATGTGAGGAAACCGAGGGCTGGGAGGAGCAAGGCTGTCCCCAAACACAGAACACAACTCAAGTCCAAGTGCTCAGAGCACCTTAGAAGCCTGAGGCAGGAAGCTGGACTTCTCAGGCCCTCCTGGAGAGTTGTGTCCCCACCTGGGCTAACCTCCCTGTGCTGAGGCCTGAGAGTCCCTGTCCTGCTCCCACCTACCTTCCAGATGTGGTTTCTGGATGTCTTGTCTGCAGGCAGATCCGGGTCAGACCCTCGCTCTACCATACCAGCCTTCACCAGGACCACAGGCCCTTCACAAGGCCCTTGGTGTCTCCCTTTCCCTCCATGTAACGGGCACTGATCCCTGCCCACCTGACACCCCCAGGACCGGGGGCTTGCCCAGACCACAGACAGGACTGCACACGCCCAAGGCCAGCGACAGGTTATGCGTGCTGCCCAAGAGGAGCGCCTCACAGAAGCAATTATTGGGGGCCACCTGAGGTGCCCCCTTTGTAAGATTCTCGAGGTGCAAGGGCAGGTCTCTGAGCCCCAACATGAGCACAGCCCATCATGGGGCAGACGGCCCAGTCCGCCAATCGGCACCTGTGGCAGGGTGTCCCGGGAGGCTTGGGGCTTGACCAGGCACCCCCACACCGGCCTGGGCCCCACCACCCACCACTCACAGCTTCTCTCTCTCCCCTCCAGGCTGTTCGACGTCGGGGGCCAGCGATCTGAACGCAAGAAGTGGATCCACTGCTTCGAGGACGTCACAGCCATTATCTTCTGCGTCGCGCTCAGCGGCTACGACCAGGTGCTCCATGAAGACGAGACCACGGTGAGTGGCCCTGGGCCTGCCCAGCCTGTGGTGGCACGGAGAGACTCGGCCTCAGTGGCCCTGGGGGCTCCGGGGCGGGGCCGGCTGTGTTGGCTGCGGTTCTGCCACTGGGGGCCGTGCCCGCTCCCTCCTGTGAAGGGAGGCCAGGCAGACGCCCCGTGATGCGGCTGCAGGAGAGGCCGCTGTGGGCCATCAGTGCCTCTTTGGTAAACACAGCAGAGGCCCAGAGCCGCCGGGCCAGAACCGAATGAAGCCAGTCAGTCCTAAAAGAAATCAAGGTGCAGCCCAGCAAGAATGTATGTAAGACAGAAATAGCCGGTCTCGGGCCCGACCACCTGTCCCCAGCACCGGCCGGGCTGTGGCCAGAGGCGCTGCGTGCGGCTGGCAGGGGGAGTGCACGGGGCGTGGGGCCCCTCCTCAGAGGAGGTCGGCCACGCTGGCCTCAAAGCGAGGCCCTCAGCTGGAGAGAGGTGCGGCCTTTCTCTGGGCCTGCTCCTGCTGTGCTGCCAGGTCCCGGCGGCTCGCTCCCTGTCTCAGCTACTGCTCTCTGCCGGAGTGGGGTAACCGTAGTACTTCGTCTCAGGGCCGCCGGTGACACGTTGAGAGAATGCGCGTGAAACCGTCGGAACCGCGGAGCTGGTGGTTGTACTGTTGCCGGCGACTATCCCTATATGTGTCGGGGGGTGGCATCCACTGAGCAGCAGGCCTGTCTATGGAGCCTGCAAGGGAAGCTGGGTGTCGGCGTGATGCACCTGCGGGGTCCCTGGAGACGAGCCCGTGACACCTGCAGGGGGTCACGGGGTCCTGGCTGGGGGGTCAGCCCCATCAGTGGGACGCACGTGCAGACCCTGGGCCCCAGCCTCTTAGAGTCAGCGTTGAGGGTGTGAAGCCGTGTGTTGGTCGTCACGGCAGGCCCTGAGCAAGGTGGTCTCTTGCGGTCTGTCCCGTCTTAGTCCTGGCCTGCTGGTCCCGCAGGCCTTCTGGGCACATCTGGGGGGCTGCGGGCTGGGGTGCCGCGCTGCGGGGAGGGGTGCCGCGCTGCGGGGAGGGATTGGCGCCGGATGAGGTTTTCCGCAGACTGGGACTGGAGCCGCCAGCAGGGGGTTGAAGGGGCCGGGGGTGAACCCCATGCTGGTCTGCCTTGTCCTTCCTCTTTTGGGGCCAGCTGCACCCCTGAGTTGGGTTCCAGCAAAGCCCCTGAGCCCTGCCTTGTCTAGGGGTGAGGGTTCTAGGGCCTTGGCTGGGAGCTCGTTCTGGTAGAGCAGTCACTGTCAGTGGCCTCGGCCGGCTGTGGCGTCTCGGATCCCTGGAGCCAGGTGGTGGGTAGAGGCCCGCGCTGGGCCGTGCTGGGACCCGGACTCACCGGCCGCACCCACTATGCACCCCTGCCCAGGGACGGCCCTGGCACTTCTCTCACTGTTCCGCCGGTCGACTCTATGGTTTCAAAACCGCTCGTCACCGACAGTGGCATCCACCCACGTGGTCTGGGCTCCACTAGGTTCATCTTTCCTCCCTCCAAAGCCCGGGAGTAAGAAGCAGGGCTGGGCTAGCATCGCGTCTGTAACCCACGGGTTGCAAGAAAGCAGAGAGCCGGAGGGCAGGAGGGCCCCACTCCCTCTATTCGCCTCTCCCCTATGACCTGCCCTCCCGGGTCTGCGCGCAGCTTAAACCTTGAGTCCCAGGCTCCACAGCCGTGGGGCAGGGCCTCTCACTCACCTCTGGAGCACCGGGTCGAAGCACCGTGTGGGTCTGGCAGCCATGGGGCCCCAAGCTCCTTGGCCGTCGGTCACCCGTGTCCGTGGTCTGGTTAGGTGCCAGGCCTCGTGCTCGCACAGCCCTCCCCGTCCAGCCCGGCCGGCCCCCCAGAAGCTCCTCGCCAGCCCCACCACTGCGTGTGCACACCTTTTGGGGAACACGGCCCACGGGCCCCGCCACCTCCTTCACTTCTTGCCTTTACTGTCCTGCTTCCACCCTCTCTCGTTTTCCTGCCCCATTTTCCCGGCCTCTGTTGCACAAGGGCTGAAGCACAGGACCTTGGGGAAGCCAAGGCCAGGAACAGGCTTTTCCTGGAGCCTTTTCCACCCAGAAGCAGGCCGTCGGTGCCCCCTGGGAAGAGCGAATGGCCTTCGCCACAGGACAGCCACTCACAAAGGCAGCTCATTGCCGTGGGGACAGCAAGAACAATACCACGGCGAGAGAGCTCGGCAAACATCTGTGTGTCCAGGACACGGCCACGCTGGGCAGTTGAGGAGCCACACACCACTGGTGCAGAGCCGGGCCCTGGCCCTGCCACGGGGTGAGCATGGCAGCCTCTCCCTTCCTCCTCCGCAAAATGGCTACGTTGGCCGAGCAGCCTTGTGGGCATTGGTGAGGCCCACCGGACTCAGCACTCAGGAGCCGGCCGCGGTCGGGCTGCTCCGTCCCAGTGTGTGGCGAAAGGACAAGCTGTGGGACATGGACACTCTGCCCCAGGAGGCAAAAGCAGGACCCTGCTGACCCATCGTTGGTCCTCCGTGGTCAGCCCGCACGTCCCTCCTGACTGGGGCAGGAGCGGGGCCTGCCGGGACAGAGGAGTCTACAGACAGCTCCTGGAGCCTGGCCGGGGGTCCCAGGGGCCTCGGGGCTGCCCCCCACCCCCGCCAGCCAGCCGCCCCGCCCACTGCACCCTGGCAGCCCGAGGGTTTCATCCCGTCCTCATACCCCAGGCCGGTTGCTCCAGCGGCCCCAGGCCTCGGCCTGCCACAGCTTCTTCAGGCCACTATCGTCACCGCCGCCTGCAGGGCCTTCACTGGCCAAACCAAGGCCAAAACCATGTGCAGATTCTGGGAGACGCTCCAAGCTGGGCAGGTATGAAGTGCCTCCCTCCAACCGAAACCATCAGTTAAGAGTTGAAAGCACCAGGTTGTCAGGGCCCCCCCGGGTGACTTGCTGTGACGGCCTGCCCCGCCCACTCCCGCCTCCCACGCTCGACGTCCTTGTCCTCTGCCAGCCTGTGTGGGGGCCTCAGGATGGGCTGCCCTTGACTTCCTGGACCCGAGACTGGTGGAACCAGTCTTTCTGTTTTTTTTCCTCTTGCTTTTCCTCCTGCATTCTGGGTTTTTATCTTCTTTTCTGTGTTAATCTGTTTTGCTGGGCTTCTTCTTGGGGTTCTTCTGGCCACTCTACTGAGAAACCAGCCCCAACAACGAGGCCACCCAGAGTGGCCGCCGGCCCAGCCACAGCCCAAACAACCAACCAGACCCCCCAACTGCACCAAGGCCACAGCAAGATCACCCCCCAGACGCTGTCCCCTGGTGTCTGCTTCCAACTCTGGATTAATTCGAGGATCTCTTCGTCCTCGGTTAATGTTTCCCAAAGGAATGCGTGCACCCTCCCACCTCCGCTGGTGAAACTGAATGAGACCCCCGTAGAGAACACTGCATGGCCTGTGGTTCCGTGTAGACGCGCTGGATGGTGGTGCTGCCCCTGCCCCCGCGTGCATGGTGCATGTCCTCTCCATGAGCTGGAGCCTCTCCAGGGGACTTGGCTGCCTCACCCCAGGGCGGCCTTCCGCAGGGGTGGTGGGGGGGTGGGCAGCGTTCCCCGCCCTGCCCGCCCTGCTCCGCCCCCCAGCCTGCCTGCGTGTGGAATGAAGTGAGGAGCGTGTCCGTCTGTCCCGTGGGGCCTCCCGTCTCCGTCTGCCAGTGGCACGGTCGGCCATGTCGGAGGGCCCTTCCTTTGCTTGGTGTGCTGTCGGCGGCCGCGGGCAGTCGGGGCCCCGGGCACTGCCAGCCCTCACCTGCCTCTCCGCTCTGTTGCAGAACCGCATGCACGAGTCCCTGAAGCTTTTCGACAGCATCTGCAACAACAAATGGTTCACAGACACGTCCGTCATCCTGTTCCTTAACAAGAAGGACATATTTGAAGAGAAGATCAAGAAGTCCCCGCTCACCATCTGCTTCCCCGAATACACAGGTAGAGAGTTCCCGTCCCAGCAGGGACAGCCGGAGCCTGCGCAGCTGCTTCCTGAGGGAGCCGCCCCTTGGCCGAGCCCAGTGGGCCTTCACCGTGCTCCAGGAGGCACTGGGCTCTGCGAGGAGCCTTCCGGAAGAGAACAAAGACGCTCCCCCACCCCCCTGCCGTCCCTGTGAATGTGCTGTCAGGAGGCAGGCCGAGCAGTCAGGGGAGGCCGGCTGGAGCCCCGGTTCCCTCTGGGAGCCTTGTCTTGGCCATCTGGAAACACAGATTATCAGGGAGGTGACAGTGCCAGGATGATAAAGGGCTTAGAAGCAGGGGCTTCGAGTCAGGCAGCCTGAGGGTCCTGCCCAGCCCGGCCGCTCAGAGCAGGTCACATAATCCCTGGGATTCTGCGGCCCTCCCTCAGGACTCAGAGTGAACCAGTGAGCAGGGAGAACTTAGCGTGCAGCTGGCACATAGTAGGAACTCACTAAACACATGCCAGGGCTGTGGTCATGGTACCTGTAACTAACAAGCACCGTAGCAGCCCCTCCCGCATGGGCTTCTACACGCGGCGAGTGACCGTGGGCGATGACAGGGCTTCTCGAGCAGCAGAGACCCTCGGCTGCCCGCAGAAGGGCTGAGGAGGTCAGAGCCACCGCTGATACCATTGCCATGGTTGACCCAGCTGCGGGATATACGGGCAGCTGGGGAGGACAGCCTGACCAGGGCCCCATGCACCAGCAAGGGTGACCCACCAGCTTTTCCAGATGGTCAGAGCCTGGCCAGAAGGGTGAGTGGGAGGAGAAATGGGCCTTCCCAGCCCGACCAGCCCCCGGCCTGGAAAGCACAGGGCAGGGGCAGAGTCCCGACAAGGCAGGCCTCTCAGGGGAGCCTCCAGGCTGAACCCCACTTCCTTGAAAGGAGATGTGGGGGTCATAGCTTGGGGCCAGGCAAGCAGTATGGGCCCCCTCACTCAAGGCCAGGCCCCCACTTAGCGTGTGATCAGAGACAGACAAGGCCCTCATGGCCACCAGCTAGGGGGTTATGGATCCTGTGCTCAGTGACCTGGGCTGTGACCTGTGGCACAGTGGAAGCAGGCAAGATGAGTTGGTCACCACGGCTGGTTTGGGGCTCCAGAGGTCTGAGTGATGACCTGTAGGTCCCAGGGACACTTCCCCTCACCTCCAACCCTGATTTCAGAAGGAGCTGTGGTCTGGCAGACCTTCAAGGCCAGGCCCATGTGCCCATGTGCCTGAGGGGCCGGGACCCCCTTCCACATATGTCCCCCTGAGGCTTCCCACCCAGCCCCGCACTGGGGCTCTAAGATCCAGCCCCACTCCCTGCCTGCCCTCAGCGGGTGGTGGCGGCCCTACCAGGCCTTGAAGCAAGCTGCCAGAGCCCTTGGGGGCTTCCGTGCAAAGTTGGGACAAGGTGCTCCAGTGCAAAGTCGGGAGTCCAGTTCTGTTTCTCCCCCGACAGCAGCTGCTCTCCCGAAACACCTGTCCCTGGGCTCACCTGGAACCAGGCGGCTGTTAATCTCTGGTAGCGACAGGAGTGAGCGAGGGGTGAGGGATCGGGGAGGCCAAGGCGGCTCACAGGCGCCCAGCAGTGGCCAAAGGAGGTGACATGCGGAGGACAGGCCTGCGGGCTGTGTCAGCCCGGGACCGCCTTCTCACACACTCGCAGCGGGAGTCAGTGGGTGCAGATTCAAAAGGAAAACAGCGGTTCTGTGAAATGGGACTCACCCTTGATCCAGAGGAGCCACCGGGAGCTTTGTTATTTTGCTTCGTTGTTTTCAAACTGGACGTGGACCACAGACTTGATTTCATAGCCCCCCTCCCATGGGCTCAGCGGGGGCCATCACGCCCCTTCCCCAATCAGGCTGTGCCCGCGGTGTTGTCTCAGGGAGGCCCAGGCCCCGCAGTGGCCTCGCCTCAGGGCCCCACACCTGGTCTCTCCTACAGGCCCCAGTGCCTTCACGGAAGCCGTGGCTTACATCCAGGCCCAGTACGAGAGCAAGAACAAGTCCGCTCACAAGGAGATCTACACCCACGTGACCTGCGCCACCGACACCAACAACATCCAGTTTGTCTTTGACGCCGTGACGGACGTCATCATCGCCAAAAACCTGCGAGGCTGTGGCCTCTACTGAGCCCCTGCCTCCCCCCCCAGCTGCCTGCCTCCCCATCTGGCCTGCTGCCCCACCCCTGCCCCGGAACCAGAGCCCTGCCGCCGCGCAGCCGCTCTCCGCACTTGACACAGCAGCTCCCAGCTGGCGCCCGGGAGGGAGGAGAGCACAGCCTCCACGGGCCGCCCCTTCCCCAGACATGGGAGCGCGTGGTAACCCGGGGGCCTGGCACGGGGGCTGAGTGCTCCTGGGCCTCCGCTTCATCTCTGAGGGTTTTGTCCTGGTGAGGGGGTGGGTTGGCCGCCGTTTGGTCCAGAACGGGCACGCTCCTGTGTGGGGGTGTCTCTGGGGGGCACCGTGTTGGCCGGGGTGAGGCCAGCGGGAGCCACTGCTCAGCTTCTGGGGTCTGTCTGGTCGGGGCAGCTCCGTCACCAAAAGCCAGGGTGGGACCAGCGCAAGTATGTGCGGGTCCCAGGGCTCGACCTTGGCGAGTGCCTCCCCCCTGCTTCCGCCTGGATCTCAGCCCCAGGCACAGCCCTTTCTAATCCAGGCCATCCTTCCTTGCACACCCTTGGAGGGTCCCATGGCCTTCCTGGGGAACCCCATCCCTGACTCCTCATAGGTGTGGAGATGCTTCTGAGGCTGGTATTGCCAAGGCCTGTGGTTGATGGTGGGAGGGGTCGAGTCCCGCGCACCTAGACCGAGGTCAAGGAAGAGGTGGGAGGCGGCGGCGGAGGGAAGGCTGAGCACAAGGAGCTCTGGTGTTGTCTGGGTTGGGGGCCTCACGCCCCGTGCTTGCAGGCTCAAGGGGGACCATTCACTTTCTCCCATCGCCTGGGTCTCTAGGCAGCTGCTGCGGAAAGTGGGTAGACAGGCTTTTCCTTCTCGAGTTCTGGCTCGACAGGGACAGGCGCGGCCCTTCAGGCACCGTGTTCTGAGGCTGGGGAGACCCAGGGCCGGTGTTGATGTGGCCCCTGCAGCCAAGGCCCCAGCTTCCTTCCATCTTGGTGAAGAAATCAGAGTTTGTCCGAAGCCCGTGGTGTCCCTCAGGGCAGAGGACAGACGTGTGGGACTCAGGCTGGAACGTGCACCAGGAGGGGGGGCCAGGCTGGTCCAGACACATAGCCAGCACCCCCTTCTCTGGAGAGAGAGTCCTAGGATGCCTTGGAGGGGCTTTGCTGTAGAGGTTCCTGAGCAGAAAGGGGTGGGGTGACTCTGATAAGCCAGGCCCTGGCTGGCTTCGGGCCATCAGCCCGCCTCCCTCTCTCACCCAGGAGCTTCCATGGGCCAGTGCCACCAGCAAGCGCCCCAGGCAGGCCCTGTGTGCTTGTAGGGCAGGCTCTGCCTCGGGAATCTGACTTGCCCCTGGAGAGGCTCTGGCTCCTTCCTCCAGCCCTCTGCACTCCAGGCTCCAGTCCTGGGCTCCCAGTGCAGCTCCCTGGACTGTCCCGGAGCCAGGAAGAGCCCCGTGCCGACCGCCCCATGCTTCTCAGCTCCAGTAGGCACGGAGCTCTGGCTGCTGCATGGGAGGCTCAGGGCGTCCCCCCTAGTGCCAGATGCCTACAGGGAGGGGCACCCCTGGTAAGCCCCCTCCCTCATCGGGCTCTGACTGCTGCCCCCAGCCTCGTGGGAAACACGGCAGCTGGGCTGCAGGAACCACCCCACCAGCCTGAGGGCACTTCAATGTCACTTGCCTTGTATGTGAAGCACCTCATACCAGCTGCTGGCGCGCCAGAGGACAGGCCCTGAGAGCCAGCGGTCCCTGTCCCGTCACAAGCGGCCAGCGCCAGCAAGGCCATTCTGCCCAGCAGTGAAGACAAGTTAGTTCTCTCCCAGTATTACCACCCTGGCAGGGACCGGCCACACCCCTAACTAGCCCCCTGAGCCCAGACCCAAAAGCAGCGGCCCAGAGGAGGGCTGCTTGTCCAGTCCCACCTCTGACGCCATCGCCCCGGAGGTGGGAGCCCCCGGCCGCCTGGGCCCAGGGCCATCCCGTCTGCAGCACAAGAAAGAGGAAGGGCTGGTCACTGGGGACCTTCCCGCCCTTCTGTGCCCCGGGACGCCCTGCTGCTGCTTGCCGTGCTCCCGTTGTCCTGCCCCACCTGCAGCAGGGGTCCCTGCTGTCTAGTGGAAGCGCACAAGGAGAGGATACCCGGGACGAAGGTCCCTCCCTGTCCACTGCATCTCCCATCCACATCGTTCCCAGTGCGCCAGCGTGGGGAGGGATGACAGAGAGTGATGAGTCTTGGCTCCGCCGCGGGTGTGGGTGTGAGGGGAGGAGGGTGAGAGTGTGAGAGACCAGACATGGGTGGGTCTCTTGTCCGCAGTGGCCCCATGCACGTCCCCAAAAGGACCATGCTGCAAGTCTGTGAATGGCTCTAATTCAGTGGGCTGAGGAGAAACTGGATTTCTAGGAGGAGTGCCTTTGCCAAACCCGTGACGATTGTGCCTGCCGTCTAGATGCCTGTGGGCCAGTTCTGTGCCCCGCACTGACCGCCCTCGCAAAAGCCTGGTCTTGGCCTTCCTACTGAGAACCAAGAGCTCCCCAGGGCTCTCCGGCCTGGCTGGAGGGAGTGGGGGGCCTGAGGCCCAAGTAGGGGCTCGGTTGAACCCGTCTGCGGAGGGTGCAGGCTCTGCCCCAGGCCTGAGCAGAAAGCAGAGCTCTGGGTCCCTCGACAATAGCTGTGACACTTTGGGTTCCTTGACCATCTTCCATGGAGGCCTTACATGCCCCTTCCTCTGTGCCCTCTCTGACCCCAGTGGAGCCCGAGGGCCTATAGCCATGTACACTGACCCACAAGTGGGGACAGTGCCCCGGCAGAAGGCCACACCTGCCTCTCCCCCAAGCCCAGCTCCACATCCCGATGCGGGAACTGGAGACACCCAGGCCCTCCACAACCATACTGGAAAACAGTTGGTTCTCCCACACGGTGGGCAGCGACAGCAAGCGCTCCCCGCAACGGGACCCCTCGTAAGCAGGCTGGCTGTACACCCCCAACAGGGAAGGCCCGGGAGTCCTGTCACCCAGGCCCTTCCCCTCTGCAGGGATGAGCCCTGCAGGGAGGGGCTGCCCCCAGGAGTGTTTACACTTGTCCCCCAGTGGCTGATTCTGCAAGTTTTCCTGCTCCCCCCACCAGCCCCTGCCTTCCTCCCTGTTCCTCCCTCTTTCCAACTGGCCTCACTCAGAGGGCTCCTCAACCCTCTTGGTAAATAAACCCGCCCCAGTCTCGGCTCAGCCCCTGCTCCCAACCAGGTTGGGGGTCTGTCCAGTCCCCTTTGAGAAGTCAGGCTGCCCTGTTCTTCTCCAAGCTTCTGGAAGTTATTAGGGGCAGCCGGCAGCTCTTAGGCATGGAGGCCCGCGATTCTGGTCGGTGGCCACCTGGATTCAGTCTGGGGCACGAGTGGTGAGCACCCACAGATGGGCCCCCCGGGTCAGCGCCCAAGCCTACAGCAGCCCAGGGTGGCGGCATGGGGCACAACACACAGACCAGGGACCAGGGCCGCGGAGGAGCTGCCGCCCCCGATTCCCCACCCTGCAGTGAGGCAAGTCCTGTGCCACCCTGCCCTGAGTGGCCTTCCCTCTGGGGACTCCGGGGCTCCAGACAGACCCCGACCCAGCCAGACAAACACCCAGTCAAGGGAGGGGCAGGCTGGAACAGAAGCAGAAAGAGTCCTAAGTCCTGGGCCCTTTCGTCAGGTTGGGGGGGGGGGTCCCCTCTGGAGGGGAAGCGCTCAGCCCGGGGCCCAGTGCTTCAGTTCCACCAGCAGGAGCCCACACCCCTTTTTCACAGCGCTGCTGTGACCCGTCCTCTCCTCGCCTCCCCACCCCATCCTCCTGCCTCCCGCTCTTCTCCTGGCTCATCCCCGCCCCTCCCTCCTCCTCCCCACAATCTCATTCCTGTCCCAGGCAGAGGGGAGCCCTGGCGCTGCCCTCCCTCCTTAGCAAGCCCCACCTCCCAGCCCTGCCGCCGTCCACCCCACATTAACTGTAATTTTGTAAGAAGAGTGACTTGTTGGTTTAATAAATCTCTAGTTATCGTAATAATTTATTGGCTGCCGTAAAGTATTCATTAGTGACCTGCCGTTAATAAAGAGTGCTACCTTTCTCCAGGGCCCCTACGTGACAGGTCCCCGTGCTTGTCCCCCGGCTGGTCCCTGGGCCAGGATTGCGGGCCTCCTGGCAGACAGGCACAGGCTTCTGGGGGTGGCTGGCCTGACCTTGCTGACCCCTTGGGACAGTCACGAGCCTGCCTTCCTGTCCGCGCGCTTGGTGCAGCCTCACCCCTGCTCTGTGGGATGCGGCAGCCAGGCCCAGGGAGCTTCCCTGCGGCCGCCGGCCTGCGGGCTGGGCAGGAAAGCGACTACGGGCAGGAAGGGGTGGCTGTCGCCCGGTTGTGATCTCTGGCTTCTTTTTCTTTTCTCAAGTGCTGCTGTCTCCATTTGGCATGTACTCGCTCCTGCACCTGTTTTCTCCCAGGAAGCTCTGGACCGGGTGGTGGGTTCCAGTCTGTGTGCGGAGGGAGGGCAGCCAGGCCTGCGGGTGCGGAGGGGGCTCAGGGCCGGCGCCTCCCCTCCCCCGTGTTCTCCCCGGGCTGCCAGGATCCGCTCTCCTCCAAGACCTCCCCACAAAACCAGGCCCAGCTATGCAGAGCACCTCTGCAGACCAAAGACCTTCCCAGTGCGGGCACCATCCCCGCAGCTAGACTGTGAGCTCTCAAGAGCAGGACTTGAGCTGTTCGTCCTCCAGTCCCCCCGCAGCCCGGCAGAGCCCTGCACACAAATCCAGTCGGCGCTGCTGGGCAGAGAGGCCGTGGAGGGGCCGAGTCTTAGCAGAGTGGACTTGTGGGGCCCCAATGGCCGGCCCCCACGTCTGCTGCAAGGCCTTTAGGCCGGCCCGTGTGCCAAAGGGATGCAGTCCCCCTCTGCTCAGGTCACCCTGGTGATCCCTTCTGGTCCTGGGAGCGCTCCAGCATATGTCCCCGCTGTATCCCGTGGTGTCCAAAGACCAAAATGGTATTTGGGAC